TCAAAGGAGAATAAAATCTCCTGGAGAAGCCATTTTCGGAAATACAATAATTCCTTTAAAATCGCGGGTTTGATATCCACCATTTTTTTTTTTTTTTTTTCATTCCAGCGAATAATAAAATGCGGAAGAATTGTAAATTTGGAAATCGTGATTAAAAAAAAAATACCTGTATAATACTGAAGATGTAAATCGCTACAAAACGGTGTATGTTAAAATTGAATGTTTTATGGAAGAGCATAAAAACTAATTATTTCTTTATGATTTATTAGTGCCATTTCATATTTTAATAAATATAGTCAGATTACATACATTAATGGCATACTACGAAATGTCCCATTTAGCACCAATAGAATATCCACCATTTTCTTTTTTTTTTATTTCGGATTAATAAAATGCGGAAGAATTCTACATTTGGAAATCGTGTATTTCATAAATCGTGATTTTAAAAAAAAATCCCTGTATAATACTGAAGATATAAATCGCTACGATAGTGCAAAACGTCTTATGTTAAAATTGAGCTAACTAAAAACTAATTATTTCTTTATGATTAATTAGTGCCATTTCACATTTTATTAAATATAGTCAGATTACCTATATCAATGGCATACTAGGAAATGTCACCTTTAGCACCAATAGAATAAAAATAGAAAATTGTTACACGCAACCTTTTACACTAACAGTGAAAATTTGAAATCCAAGGAACTACAAGAAAAAATCGAATTATCGGGACTTCGAGTTATCATGGAGTTGGAATTATCATGAGGATTGAATAAAAGCAACACGATTTATTATTATATTTTTGAAAATATGTATGGGCTTACATTAATTTTATAAATATCCTCTTGTAAAATGTATCACTACGTATGTTCTCACAAGTAAAATGGATGGAACAAAAAATCCAATGGAAAAATTAAACTTTCTGTTTGTTCGGAGTTGACGATACCAACATTTTCCCTCAGTCAGAACAAAACTAATTTAAGCTGGAAAATAAAAATATGATTGAAGTTCAGATGACCAAGGAGGAAATCGATACCTCGACGAGCTGGTTGAATTTCAATAAAAACGAACAAAATCACAAATAAGGCTTTTATTTTTTTACTAACTATATAAAGTAAAAATTAATTAAAATTTACTGAAAATTACATTAAATCTAAGTGAAGGCAGTAACGTGTCATACCACTAACTCTTGGAATCGACCAAACAGTACAGTATCAATTAACTTTTTGAATAAATCCGAAAATGTTATAACCTCATAAAAATATCGTATTAACCTAACCCCCGTCCCATGTGATCAATGCCTTCCACATTTCACAGCCATTATAGTATTATTATTTATTTATATTAATTTTAATTATAAAATGAAATTGGTACTAGAAAATTCGACAAAATTGATATAGGACCATCTAAGTACCAATCCTCACAATCCCAGAACATTTCATGAAAATTGGGTGAACAGTAGCAGATGATATGCCCGTCACATCGATTTGACCACAGACAAACACCCAACAAAATTTGATCCTTGATGTATTTAACGTAAAAGGCGAGTGGAAATTTTGGATTCTGGGCACACATTTTTTTTTTTTTTTTTTTTAACCTTTCGCACGAATACAATGCTTCCCTAGCTCCAGTAGTGAGGAAGCAAAAGGGAAATATATACTGTCGTTTTTCGATCATTTGAAATCCAAGGAACTACAAGAAAAAATCGAATTATCGGGACTTCGAGTTATCATGGAGTTTGAATTATCATGAGGATTGAAAAAAAGCAACACGAATTATTATTATATTTTTGAAAATATGTATGGGCTTACATTAATTTTATATAGAAATATCCTCATGTAAAATGTATCACTACGTATGTTCTCATAAGTAAAATGGATGGAACAAAAAATCCATTGGAAAAATTAGACTTTCTGTTTGTTCGGAGTTGACGATAACAACATTTTTCCTCAGTCAGAACAAAACTAATTTAAGCTGGAAAATAAAAATATGATTGAAGTTCAGATGACCAAGGAGGAAATCGATACCTCGACGAACTGGTTGAATTTCAATAAAAACAAACAAAATCACAAATAAGGCTTTTATTTTTTTACTAACTATATAAAGTAAAAATTAATTAAAATTTACTGAAAATTACATGAAATCTAAGTGAAGGCAGTAACGTGTCATACCACTTACTCTTGGAATCGACCAAACAGTACTGTATCAATAAACTTTTTGAATAAATCCGAAAATGTTATAACCTCATAAAAATATCGTATTAACCTAACCCCCGTTCCATGTGATCAATGCTTTCCACATTTCACAGCCATTATAGTATTATTAGTTATTTATATTAATTTTAATTATAAAATGAAATTGGTACTAGAAAATTCGACAAAATTGATATAGGACCACCTAAGTACCAATCCTCACAATCCCAAAACATCTCAGTATATATTTCTGTCGTTTTTCGATCATTTGAAATCCAAGGAACTACAAGAAAAAATCGAATTATCGGGACTTCGAGTTATCATGGAGTTTGAATAATCATGAGGATTGAAAAAAAGCAACACGAATTATTATTATATTTTTGAAAATATGTATGGCCTTACGTTAATTACGTTACTAAGAAAATTTCGAATTATAAAGAGAGGAACTGGTCTAGTTCGAATAAGAAGAACGTTCTCTCCCACTGTTGTTCCAAAAAGGATTTAGAGTTATCAAGCCATCAAAATACAGCATTTTTTCGATTTACCGAAGTTAACATCGGAAGAGTTCGAATTATCGAGAATCGGCTATAAATATAAGTGACCTTTGTAAGATAAAAATGATCAGTATTATAAGTAACGCTGATGCATTGACATTTTCACAAAAAGAAAAGATTGTCTTTTAAGCATTATTTTCTTATTAATTTTAAGTGTAATTGTTATCTTTTTAATCTGTTGTAATATGTACTTAAGAAAAAAAGTATAAAATTAGTTATTTTTTCTGTTAGAGAAAAAATGTACAGGAAAACGCTTGTAACATTGAGGCCCAGTCCTCCTCATTGAATACATTGTCGCATTAAATTAAGGATAACACGAACGAAGACGTGGGCAACACATAGTAATTTAATAAAAAAAGCGATCATACATGAAAGAGAACAAATTTGTATGAAACAGAAAAAAAAAACGAACTGAGTGGTTTTAATACTTATATTTGGCGTTAGCTTCGGTGATATCTTATTTAGAAGGCTGTTCTCGTTGATTTTATTTCTTGCAACTGATATTTCATGCTTACTTACACCAAAAACGCTACAGAAAAAAAGTGGCGTAAAGAAAATTATCGTGTTATGAGAGAATGAAAAAAAGACTCCATCGAATGGATGTGACAGTGAGGGACAGCACACATCCCTCCCTACCGCACTCTTCACTGATTGAAATCAAATTGCCTCTTTATTCACCGTTCAATCTCCAATGGCAAAAGGATTGTCATGTCGATTTGTTATCCTTGATTAAAAGTTCACGGTCTAAGAGACAACTTACAAGATAAAGAACTACGCGTTCATAATAACCAATTATATTTAAGCTTAACGGAGAGCTCGAAGATTATATGCAATTTACCACAATATATACAGGGTGTTTCAGAATTAAGTGAAAAAAATAATATGATTTAAGGACCTCAAAACAAAAATTCTATGAAGGTCCGCAAACGCTTTATTCAGGATATTCATACTTAAAGATTTTCATTGTTATGAATTATTTACGTAAGTAAGTAATTAAAAATTATTTATTTGTTCCAACTACTTTATTAATTAAACGCAAATATTAAATGTTGATCAAAGTGATTTCCTTGAGCATTAAGAAATTCCAGAAATGTACTCTCATTGATTCGGTGCGGCAAGAAATGCGCTTGACTTAAGTACCTATCTGAAAATTTTGTTACCCGTTGATAATGATATGTGTGTAGTCCAACTGCAATGAGAGTTCTCCAAAAAGATGTTTATCTGCTTTATTTAATCACAATAGTCTCCATTACTATCAATACATTTCTGCCATTGTTTTGGCAACTATTCCCTTGGAATAGAATTTCCGATCTTTAGAATTGATTAACCCCAAAAACAAATTTTATAATTCCCTTTGTCCATTAAATTTTTTGTCACGTAAGTAGGGGTCCAGGTGTCTAAAAAAAAGATCCAGGTGTCCTTATTGTTGTTAGTTGTTCTTATCATTATTACGTTTTTGGCACAATATCTATAGAAAATGAAACTTAGTAGTAAAGGGATGCTTTATGAATAATATAAAAACATATGTGCTGTTTAAAAAAATTAATCGTATATTTGATTAAATCTTAATATCTATATCAAAATTTCCCCCAAAATATGACTAACCTTATTTATCATCAATAATAATAATTCTTAATTACCAAAACTAAGGCTGAAAAGTCGGCACAAAAAAAAAAAAAAAATTATTTGTACTTCACTGAGATCAATTCTTAACCAACTTATCTTACTTTAAGCATACATAGTTAACAATTTCTACACTATTATTTTTCTCTTCTAATTATTATAATTCAAAATAAATAAATAAAACAATGCATTTAACAAATATAATGGAGTTTTGAAAAGTAAATCCTTTTTATTGATCTAAAGCTGATCTACCTACCTGGATGGCATCTATCAAAAGAAACTAATCCACAAAATATGCAAAAATGAGTTAAAGTTGGTTTTGAATTGGATAAGTGCTTAGTAATTTGTAAAGAAAAGAGCCATCTCCTGTTTCAGGTATCTTCAAAAATCAAAATTGGATGCGATGTTTTTATTTTTCATAATAAACTAAATAACACAATATAATTAATTTTATATTTTATTAATAATTGATATAATGGCAGTATCTGATGGTGGACAATTTAAAAAAATAAAATTAAGGTTTGTAATAAAAAAAAAGAAACAGATACAATGTAGATTAGTTACTTTTTGATAAATTGAGGGACTCCATTTGTAACATACAATGGTTTAATGAATTATTTTTTTTATTAATTAGGTGCTCCACAAATTCCTGACAGCGAGACCAAAGAATGCTAGCAGTATGTACAACGGTACCATTGGTAATGACAGTTGGGAAGGACGTGGTTTGATGACAGAAGAAATCCTAAGAAACATACATAGGTACAATGCGGCACAAACTATCATCAATGAAGATATTTTTGGTCCGGTTCAAAATGACACTATAATTATTGTTATCCAGGTATTTTAAAAATTTCAACTTAAAATCAATCTAAAAGTTTACATCAACGTTTTATCGTTATTATTATTTTATTTCATAAACACTTTTATGTAAATAATTCACATTTTTATTGCAGGTTCATACAAGGATAGTTTATTTACGGCACCTCATTGTTAGCCTAGCTCAAGCTCAGGGTATCGAGACAACTTTGATAGTCTTCTCCCATGATTTTTACGATCCAGAAGCGAACGAGCTTGTCCAGAGCGTAGACTTTGCCAGGGTCATGCAAATATTTTATCCTCTCTCTATTCAAACACATCCAGATACATTTCCTGGACAATCTAAAGGAGACTGTCCAAGAGATATCAATTATCAGCAGTAAGTCTTCTGACATTATTAATATTAATATTATGACAGCAAAGGTCATATTAACGCCCACTTATTTATTCACTTACAAGCGTTTGAAATTCCAAGAAATATAATTTTCTTCTAAGTTAATTTCTAACTGAGCCAATGCACATTGGGTCTCTTCTTCACATCTAATTAATTGACATCAACAACTAAGGGATTCAATCTAATTAAATTGTTGTTGTTTTAATTAAATCTCACCAAAGCAGTATTGTATTGACATACCTTCTTATAAAGTGTATTATAACAATTGTAGTAAGCTATAAATCTATTATAATAAAATTGGTATTTAAAACAACGATAAAACATTAATATTGGTTTTTATAATAGAATAGACCAGAAAAATCTAATTTATTCTGGAATAAAGTCCCTTAAAAATAACAATGTGTAGAGACAAATAAACATTAATGCTGGCCAAAAGACCAATTACAATAAATATAATTAGCAAAGATATGTTTTAAAAACTGATAAGGAATAATATAACAATATATTTGCTACTAAATATATATATATAAAATGAATAAATGATACTAAATTAATTTTATAAGTACAATACCTTAGCAATAAAAACTAAATAAAAATATCATTATTTACAACTGATATTTAAATATTCAACATTTTTATTTTAAAATTTATGTGGTTGTTTTTTTTTTTAATGTTTCTATTTCACTTTTATCTATTGTTTATTATTTCATTTATCAAAAATAGGACAATTTAAATAAAACCATAATATTAGAGATGTCATGAATTTTGTTTTATAATTTTAATATTCATTCAATATTTCTGCTGTTACTATTTAAAAATCTTTTCTTTTTTCTAATCTAGCGTACTATATTACCACCATTTCCCCTTACTAAATAAGAGATAAATTTACTCTCTTTCGAAGGATAAATACCTGAGGAATGCATTTGTGTTGTTTATTAATAATGATCATGGATCACATTCATAATGGGCGGATTAGCTCAGTGGGTAGAGTATTGACTTCCAAAGCTCAAGGTCCTGGGTTCAAATCCGGGTAATGGGTAATTATTGAATAATTATTCATTCTGTTTCATCATATCCCGTGGTTGGTAGACCCTCCTTGGGGCATACCCAGACTCCATCAGAGGGTACTCTTATTTAATTAATTAATTAATGGTGAAAACCTGACAGTTGAGCGTGTTCTCAGTCAAATCACTTCCTTGCATAACCGTTGACCTAGAAATACTACTTTCTTACATATTACTGAACCTGGACCCAAGACCCTTCATGAGCTGTAGTAATAAAGGTTTATATTTTATTAATATTGATAATTTTTTAGGGCTCAAATATTAAAGTGTACAAATGCTGACCATCCAGATCTCTACGGCCATTATAGAGAGGCTAAATTCACTCAAACAAAACATCACTGGTGGTGGAAGGCCAATAGAGTTTTCAATGAGTTAGAAGTTACTAGAAATCACACAGGTAAATCTGCTACATAAATGTGATTTTTTCAAAGAGATTTATTACCATAATATAACTTAAAAAGGTATATTCAACCTATGTTTATCTTAATTTAAAAATCTATTACTGCCAATTTACAGTCAGAAATTAAATTACTTCCATTTTTCCTATAGTATTTGTTCATATAATCAAATGAAACTACATTTTTATAATCATATGATATAAAAAATAATGAGTAATTAATGATTTTTGTTTGTGTTTTTAAAGGTCTGGTGTTGTTCCTTGAGGAAGATCATTACGTGGCTGAAGACTTTCTTCACGTTTTGCGACAGATGCAGATATCGTGCAGTACAGCTTGCCCACAGTGTAATATACTATCACTTGGAACCTACCTCAAGACTTACAATTATTATGGTGACAACAAAAAGGTAAAACACAATTTGATACTTGAATGCATTTCTCTACTTGATGTAAAATATCACTTTTCTGTTTTGTTTTTTTTTGTTTTGTTTTTCATTTTCTCTTTTAATGAAGTGAATAGTTGTGTTTGTTTCACTTTAATAAATGTACTACTACTACTGTTATTAGCACTGTTTTACTTCATTATGGCAAAAAGAGAACAGAATTCTTCAAATTTTTGTTTGTTTTTTTGTTATGAATCTTTTATCAGAAAAATAATTTTTTCTATAACTAGCTATAAAAGTATGCAATCTTACTTATTCGAATTTTTATGGTATAATATTATTCCTTTTATTACCTTTTATGGAGAATCAAAAGTACTGAGAAATTTCAAATTCTTTTCAAAGGTTTCAATGAATGTACTATTTTTTTTTCTCTTTTAATGGACCTATAATATTTTTGAGGTAATATTAATAATAATAAATCTGTCCCTCAACCCTAAAAACTCTAGGTACAGAACAGATCAGGCTTAAGTTTGCTTCAAAAGCAGTGTTACTGCTCATTTGTAACTAACCTCGTACATCTTCGTAAACATGTTTTTTGAAAATTTGTACAACTATTATATGCTCAATGTTGTTTTATTTTTTAAGTGAAATTAGATTATAACTTTGCTTATTAACTCATTTCATATCTTTTAAAACTTGTTTTAATTTTTCTTTTAACTTAATGGGTTAAGAAAGAAAATGAATTTTATTTAAGGTACAAAGTTTAGATTTAGAAACTATTAGAAAACTTTCTATAAACATTAAAAAAAGTGAAATAAACTTTTTAAGGGGTACAATATATCTATCACTGTTATAATTCAAGATGATAAAAATAATGTTTAAAAAAGACGTTAAAACTTAAAGTTTGTATTTTTCTTACTTAGAACTGTATATAAAGAAAAGAAAATAGCAATTACATCACAGTTTTATAAAGGATATTTAATCAAGCCAGATATAATTGTGATTAATGTATAAAGCCACATAAGTTAAATATAGCATAAATATAAATAGTGGAAATGTTAAAATAATTGTTAAACAGGTTTAGAAATTGATTATAAACAATAATCATAATTTAATCATTATTCTAATTAAATGAAAACTCAAAAAGGTTGGTGGGCATCTTTCATTAAATAAATTCTCTTCCTCATTTTCTATTTATCCTTTTTTCTAGTTTTTATTTTTTATTTTTGTTAAGATCTCATTATTTGAAAATCCTATTAATTTTTTTTTTTCAAAATTTTTTACCTTTAAGTGATCTTTCTAGATTAGGTAATGTAACAGATGTAAACTCAGGTTTGATTGAAAATATTCTGAAATTTATTGTAATGATAAAAATATTTTTGAAAAAATACTTCGAATTTCTTGGCACACGCTCCAAATTATCCTTAACTGACAAAATTACCATCTAAAAATTACTTGAAAAACCTTTATGGATGTATGAGATAGAGTTATGGAGCACTTCAAATACTTCTAACATTCTCAAAATTCAATAAAAAATATTGTGAAAAGTTACAGATGTAATAATAAATACATCAATGTAACAAATGACTTGTTCCACATGAACTTGGACGTTCCAACATTATTAGATACTGCAATACAATACTATACAATCTTCTATCAGAAACTGACTTACAAAATGAACTCATTGGCCCAAATACTTTATACCACCACAAACTCATACATCCCACCCACACGACTTTGAAGGTTATGACTTTTTAACTTAACTCCTACCTGAAATGAATACAGATCTACACATTCATGTTAATAATAACATTTTGTTGATATATTTCGGAACCTATGGTTATTTAATTCTGTTCTCTTTTTATTTTTCAATTTCACAACTAGTAGTTTTTTAATTTATTTTTCCTCCATAACAAACAAATGATTCTGTTTTTCCTGGTCAATGTTTTTGTTATCGGAAGGAGCTTTGATTAGCTTAATTACATTAGCCTTATTAGATACTTCTGTATTTAATGAGAGGCTGCTAGTTTGAATATCTGGTTTGTGTGTGCTATGATGAACTGTTTTGACCAAATAGAAAGAAGCATTGAGGGCAGTAAGGCGCCACCAAACCCTCTCTGGTGCGGGGGTTCCACCATCCTGGGCATTCCATATACTGCCCTCCCTCTATCAACATTACCACAAGGTACAGAACCGATTTGTCTGATAATTCTTCTTTCTATACATTATAAAAATTTTGCCTGTTGAAAATTAAAATATCATTAGAAATCTTTAATGATTCTTAGAAATGCGAGCTTTATTAGACAAATCTTTGTTACCTGGATCCTTGCCATCTGATGAGTAGGTTGTTGAATGGATTGTTTGGTATCAGTAGTTTGCATGTAATTTTTTAGATGCATCTTGATATGGTGTCATGTTGCATGTTGTATTTGTTTATACACTCATATGTATAGCATGTAGCTTGTATATATTGCAAAATTAACCCATATTTATACTAGTAATCCATGGTACATACCTCTTTTTATCAAATCATTGACACTCGTCTAAGACTTCATGGCTTCATCTTATTGTAACCAACAAATCTTTAATTTACGAAAATTATCAGAAATTTATTTTTAATCTAGAGATCAGTATCTTTTTTTTCATTTTAATAAGGTACTAAAAACTCATGAACATCCATTTGTTTTCTACTTCTAGATAATTTGATCACGGTATCGAGAAAAAAGATGGCTTACAAAAATATTGGGCTGTTTGCACGACCTTCACCATCAATATGTCAAAATAACGAGGCCAAATGGTCCAATATTTTTTATAGGCCACCTTTTTCCTTGATTTTGTAATAAAATTATCTTACGGTTCAAGTGGAAAGCATATGGGTATTAAAGAGTTTTAGGTTTCTCTTTGAATTCATTAATTTAATTAGAAAAAGCTCCCTTAGATAAAATGAAGTTAATAAGAGAGTTAGTAATTTGATAAAAAGGGGTCTGTACCAAGGAATAAGAAATCAATTTACAATAATATATTTTTAAATATTGTAATTAAGTTAAGATTTGTATTGCAATAAGATTATTTTTGGGAAAGTTTCTGAACTCCGTGGTAATTTCATCAATCAATTGCTTTATTGATTAGAGACATCCAGTTTAATTAAAGTGGAAACTTGATAAGTTTTACTTTTGTTTTTCTTAAATTGAACTCTTTTACCATTTCAAATTTGTAGCTAATTGTTCTTTTATAATAAAAATGATGATTTTGTAGTCTGGAATGTTTAAATTTTTATAGTTTTCATATAATGTATTCATTGTTGTTTTTCTAAAAAATGAAATTTTAAACCCTAGTAATACTGGACATATAAAATGTAAAATGTAGCAGATTGACATGAAAAAACAAAAATTGGGAAATTACCTTCAATGGACCCATTTACTGAAATAGCCATTGGTAACAATATATTATTAGCAATTTAATCAATGAATAATGAAGGTAACATTTCCATAAATGAGTTTAGAAGTTTGTCCTTTATGTATGAATATCTCTCATTTTAATTAAATAACCTAAATGAATTACTAGAGTGTAAACATTAGTTGAGGATGAAGTATATAAATATTTGACCATTATTCTAAAGTCAATTCCATTCTCAACATTTACCCTAGTTTAGGAGCTGGAAATTAAATTTTAGTTCAATAGTTCTACCAGTATTTAAAACCATAGAAGTATAGAATGATTATATTTTACCATATATCCATATCATTTAGTAGTTGTTTTAGTTAAAAGTTATTTGATGATGGTATAGTAATTTACATTAGTAAAAATTCAGATTTTCTTAACTCAGTACCAACCATAATAATTAACTGAACAGTGAAGAACTAATTAAGAATAAAAAATAAAAATAATGCATTTTAAATTAATTCTGAATATTAAATTTAATATTTATTAACTTTTATTAGATCTTCTTCATAATATTATGTATTAATATTAAAAGAAGTATAGTAAATAATGTTTTGAGCTTTCTTCTTTCTTTTTTTATCTCATCTTTATTTTTACAATGAAAATTATTTAAATTTTTTTTGTTTCTTTGGTTACATTTATGTTTAGATCCCAAGATATCTTTATAACTAATAAAATGTATATTATTTAAAGTAATAACTTTTTTTCAATTATTCCTATTTTAACTAAATTTTAATCGTATTTTTCTGACCAACATCCAATTATTTACACGGCCAAAAACTTTTTTTTTGTACTCTCCTTCCTTGCCTTTTAGGATATATGGTATTTTCATGGGGCAGGGGATAAGGCAAGGGATTAACACCAGCATTAAAAGCTCTCCTCTCCCCAGCACCAGGACGTGAACTCATAATTATTTTATCAAATTATTTTCCATTTGGCTCCGGGTAACGCGGTGCTGTGCACAAGCAATAGCCTCTTTAGCCACCTCACCCCATTGTCAAACACTATAATCTATACATATTGGTTCTTATTCTGGTAAGATAACAACTAAATCAAGTGGATGTATTGGTTCTTTTTGCTGAACTATTCCTCCCCCCTTCTATAGTGATCTCCCAGAATCTCTTCATTATTTTGTTTTTAATTTATTTATTTCCTAATATTTTTATAATATTCCGAACTTACTAATTTGTTCAGTCCTCTACTGAAGTTCTTAACACCTACAAAGTGAGTTCAATAAAATAGTTTACCTTATTTAAAGTTTTCTTTTGGTTGCCACCCCAGACCATCTCTTCCCGCATTATATACACTGTCAACTATTAAATATTCAATACAATACAAAAAAGTTATATGTTAAGATATTATTTATTTACTCATTGTTTGATTATTTAACTATAATTAACTTTACTGTATGGGATTGCCATATAAATTTGTATTTTGCCTGTTAATTAAATTTGACTGGTTTTTACAAGTCTTTATAAAAGGGTAGAAATAAAAATGCTTGTCAGAAATATTAGGCTGAGTCTGAAACTGCATCATTGATATTATATTTTTAACGATGGATAATGCTTATTTTATAAAAATGTAATTTTATAAAAAAATAATTTTTTTCATTTGAATAATGAAATCATGGGTAACCTTGGAGCGGAATTGCTAATTAAATGAATGCGAATGTTGGTATGTGCATATATTTTTAATTTAAAATTTATTGTTTTATTTTTTCCTCTTCATTCAATATTGTTCTACCATAGGCTGAAGTAACCCCTTGGGTCAGCTCCAAACACAACATGGGAATGGCATTTAACAGATCAGTTTGGGTCCAATTGCACAAGTGTGCGAAACACTTCTGCTCTTACGATGATTACAACTGGGACTGGAGTCTGCAGCAAGTGTCGCAGCAATGTTTGAAATCAAAGTTGATGGCCCTGGTGATGAGAGGCCCTAGAGTATTTCATATTGGAGAGTGGTGAGCAAAAGTTGCTCTATTATTTCTGGTTTATATTAGTATAAAATATAAGATTTTTAATTTTTAATCCATTAACTGAGATAAAATTTAACAGTTGAATCTATTCTATTCATTTTTTAATTTCATTTAAGTTATTAAGATTAACTGATCTTATTTGAACATTAATTGAGGACCAAAGATACAATAGAGTATAAGTGCATTGAAAAACTATCACGATCTAGACATTTCCTCTTGAATACAACATATTAATTATTATATTACTTATATTTTTTTTTTTTTTTTTCGGTTGGAACTAAAGATCATGAAGATCTTTGGCCGCGAGATGTGGTCTCCTTACTGAAGTATGTTGCTTGTGGGAGCACAGATAGGGTCTCCATGGTACAGCGACAGGCCATCAGTACCTCCATCCCCGATCCCTTTGGGGCCAATCTGGCAGTGTTCTTCCCACCGACTCACTCGGGTTCAAGGATATTGACAAATCGGTCTAGATCAATAGATTATGGCTGCTTAGAGTCAGCAGGTGCACAAGGACATATATTTCTTTACCCTAAAGGACCTATAACTAGAGTTTTTCAAAATAATTTAAACTAGGGGAGTACCACATGTCTGCCTAACTGCATACCAACCCCCAATTTTACAAATTATACAAGTGTTCATTTAATTTATTTGTACTAATTGTTGCTCAAATTGCTGTAACTTTCATATATTCTGTAGTTCAGATTTTATAAATTTTTTTATTAACATAAAGTAAACAGAACGAGGCCATAGTGAGGACAAATTTTTAATTTCTTTAAAAACCTATATTATACATCGCGCATTATTGCTAATTTATATTATTATGTAATTATAATTATCTTTATTGCTAATTTATAACCATAATATATATTCAACTTGTCTAGCTTTATACAAGTCCAACATAAATTTGAACCTTTTATTTCTAATATTTTCGTGCTTCCTTTACTCATTTCATAGTGATTATAATTATATCACACTACAATATAAGTAAAGGGGCCGGGGTAGCTGTACAAGTTAAGGCGCTTGCAATAGGTAATCAAAGTGAAGCAATGTCGAACGTGGTTAGTACTTGGATGGGTGACCGTCCACCAGGGAAAGCCATGCTGCTCAAGTCTACCCCCCTCCCGGGTCCGTGAGCCCTGTCAGCCTACTGGAGGCAACTCAAACCTACAGGAATAAGACTGATGATCTAATCCCGTGTACTTAAATCGGGAATGGGGATTTAGTTTACCAGGTTGTTAGTAGTCCCCCCTAACATGGACACTATATGGACACTATAGTGGTCCATGGACGGTCTGTTTTGGGGGAAGAAATATAAGTCTTTGTGTGCGTGCTGATTTTAAGCAGCCATAATCCATTGATCTAGACCGATTTGTCAATGTTGTTGAACCCGACTAAGTGGGTGAGAAGGACACTGCCAGATTGGCCCTTAAGGGATTGGGGATGGAGCTACGGATGGCCAGTCGCTGTACCATGGAGACCATGGTTTTTAGCAACGTGAGGTTGGATGACCCCCTCCAGGCTATCTGTGCTCCCGCAAGCAACATACTTCAGTAAGGAGACCACATCTCGTGGTCAAAGTTCTTCATGGTCTGTAGCACCAACCGAAAAAAAAAAAAATATATATATATAAGTAATATAATAATTAATATGTTATATTCAAGAGGAAATGCCTAGATAAAAAAATAACTACTGTCACTTAGGTAAAATTAAACTACATCCTTAGAATGAATATCCAACTGAAATTAATAATTAATATTTAATTATTTAATGGGATGTTTTTCTGCAAGAGTTTGCAATAATGTATTAAAATGATTTTTTATATATAAAATACTACATGGTCACTAATTACTTTTTTATATAATAGAGAGATTTGTTATAAATGTATAAATTAATTTTTTTCCAGTGGAGTTCATCATAAAAAAGCTAACTGTGAAAGTACAGCTGTTATTTCAAAAGTGCAGAAAGTCCTTGCTAATGCTAAAAGCTACCTTTATCCTAAACATCTGACCCTCACTTTTACTACAATTGCGAAAAAGAACAAGTTAAGAAAAGGAAATGGTGGCTGGGGAGATATAAGAGATCACCAACTCTGCATGAATATGAGCTTCCCGACAAGATAACTGTTACTTTTCCTGTATAAGTTCATCTGTTCCATTACTTTATATTTTTAGCAAAGCTATTATTTTGTGATATGTTAATGAATATGATATTTAGAATACTCCTTATATGAATCTTATGCTATTTAAAAATTGCTAAGATCAATAAGGAGTTCTAGAAAAGTGAAATCGAAGTACCAACATTTTATAATGGATTGTAACTTATTTGAGTTGTAATCGAGTTCCCAGGTGAAGTTCCCAAATGAGATAATCAGTCATCCAATGAGATAAGTAATATTAACGAGATTTATTTTGAGAAATGTTTCATTTAAATATTAACTTCCGAACACTAGGTAGAAAAAAAACTACAAAGAGATTCTAATCAAGTCTCCACAGGACCATATGTTCTATTATTTAATTTCATTGATCAGAACTCATTTAATGTTCAGAAGTGAAAATAAATGTACAACTACTAGTAATATTTTTTGCATTGTATATTAATGCATGGAAAAGTATATGGGTAAAAATGCTGTTGATGGAAAACCATGAAGATAGCTCAAATCGTTAAATACATTCAACAAAGAGATTAAACCCTAATTCATGATATCTATTGATTTTTTAAAAAAATGCTTAGGATTCACTGTAATAAATTTCAATATTTTGAAAAAATACAATTTTTAATAGAGGTATTGGTTTTAATTAACTCTCAGATAAAAATAAAATCAGCTCTCGTCTTAACTCAATTTATAATGTTTCTTCATGGGTGATAAATATTCAGGACACAGTCATTATAAAGTTTTTATTAGTGCCGACATTTCAACACTTGGGTCATCATCAGGGTGTGTTTCGAGCACTGAAGTTATTCAAGTACTACTTGTACTTGTACATCCAGTACTTGAATACCTTCAGTGCTTGAAACACGCCCTGATGATGACCCACATATTGGGGTTGAAACGTCGGCAATAATAAAAACATTATAATAACTGTATCCTGAATATTTATCATCCATGATATGTAGAACAGTCGACTAACTTCCTCCTATAATGTTTCTTAAGTTAAATGCCCAAATTTAAATTGTTAAAATTTTAAATTATTTTTGTTTTTGAGCGTCTTAATTTTACACATTTTTGGAGTATAGTTGATTAAGTATACTGTTTCAAACTTTATTTATTTATATTTTCAAGCTACCAATTAAGGATGTGTTTCTCCTCAGATTTTCGGCCATTATTTTGCAAACATTTCAGAATTAAGAAGAATTCAATAATACGATACTTGAAACTAACCTCCTTAAGAAAAAAAAAAAATTAATTCTAAAAACATATAATTTATGACAAAATTATTTTTAGAATACTTCTATATTTTGTTTGACTAATCGTGGACCATCCTCATAGGCAGGAAAGAGTACCCAGAAGGGGGTTTCCATTACGCAAGTTGTACCATAAAAAGTTTCGAGGTGAACAAATTTTAATGGATTTTTGATGTGGCACATTTTGAAGGGATTATGAATTTTTTTAATGAAAAGTTTCAAACAAGGTGAAAGAAGGAAAACATGGAACAGACTGCAGAAAGTGTTATTATATATGATCTACGATTTTTCTAATTCTATATTTGCTTGTACTGTTTTAAAGATAGTGAGTAATAAAATATCTTGGGAGGAGGTTCTAGTGCCATCGATCTAAGAAGACGATGGTTAAGGATGTTAAATTTTAAGAGTATCTTTAACAATTACCTGCTAAAATAGCCTTTAGGTTACAAAATTATTAAGAATATAACTGAAACATTAAAAAAAAAAAACTATAGTCTTCAAAATAATCATTAAGATCTGGACTATGGTCTTAATTGAAAAATATTGATGCAGATACTTCATATCGATTAAATTTGAACTTTTGTGCATCTTTAATCGACTGATACAAACTACCGTGGTAAGGATAATTAACAGTTATACTTTACTTGAAAAATATTAGTTAATCTTATCAAGGGTTAGTCATAACGCCAGTTAATTGAGGAATAAATCAAAATCTCAAAAGTAATATTTTCACATATATTTCTAAAATAGTTTTTTAATTCCATTTTTAGGTTGTTCAGGATTACATAAAAAAATAAATGCATTCTAATTTAAACATTATTGACAATTTATGCATCAAGAGATCATTTATACATCAATTTAATAAACTAGAATATGAAAACTAAGAAATTCGTAAAGTAAAACTTATGAAAGAGATTTGTATTTTCATATTTGGTAGTTTTAAAATAATCAATTCTAGGTACTTGAAAAAAAAAGTCCTAGCATAAAAAAAAAACAGCTGATTAAGTGTACGGTATAAAGATATTAATATTTTCATAAATTGATTGATTGTTCAATTTTGATTAGAAAACAGATCTTCCTGGAGATGACATTCCTCCATAATAACTGTTTTCATAATTACAGGGTTTTTAAAATTTGTCTACATTTTTATTCAGATATAAATTTCGTTATTCATGACAAATTTAAAAAAATAGGACTGCTCAAGCTATGTATTTATCAACATTAAAATGGGTTTTAATAATTTTTATTTTTAAAGCTATAAGCAGTGAAATGATATGAAAAAAATTAATGTTTTTCTTTTTGGATGCTGAAACCGAAAGGTCATATTGTGGTGAAAATTTGATTGATTAATTCACAGGTCACTTTTCAATGACTTGAATATTATTTTCGAACAATGATTTATTATATCATCTACATATAAATCTATTAATCTGTTATTTAGTACTTTTAGTCTTAATTTTTACAATACAAAGTTATTAATGTGTGAAGTTAACAAGGACAGCTGGCCCGCAGAAAGGCGGAATGGTTGGCGATTATTTTTTTAAATATATAGTTTCTCAACATTAACCTAAATTCCTGTGCCCC